GACGATATGTCAAATTTTAACTAATGGCAGTGAAAATATCAAAATTGAATAAATATCGCTCATCTTACAATATTATATTAAAACCTTTCCTGTTAATACTAATAAGATTCCAGTATTTACTATTATTATCTTGAACAGAAGCAATAAAAAAAACGTAAAAATATAGAATTCTCAACCGTATTTACTTATAAAATCTATGTTGGTATAAACTTAATAAATTATGCACCAAAAACTATATCGTTTATTTCTATAGGAACGCTAAATAAACGAAAATTTTACCAATTTAAGCTTAGAAAAGATAACGTATTAGAATGACTAAGAGTTATCTAGAAAAAAGCTACAACAAAGATTTTTCACTAGTATATTTTACGAGTATGTAAGAATCAGAATAATAATATAAGTTTCCATGAGTTACAACCGATATTTTGACGACACATTTGGCTAGTAGCAAGTAGTGACCCGACGAGTGACTAGTTGTGCCAGCGGTCGCGGGTTCGAGTTCCACTTAGGGGCATTCATTTGTGTGACGAGCACGAATATTTGTACTCCAGTCATGGGTGTTTATATTTATAATATGCATGTATTCAAAGTTATACAATATAGGTACTGTATCAACTATCTGGTATCCATAACATAAGCCTCGAAGCTTCCCATGGAACAAGATGGTACTGTGTGTTAATGTCCCAACATATAATGGTTATAATAATTTGTTTCCCAACATATTATAACCAGTGTAAAAGCTCAACTTATACATTACACCCTTCTATGTACTACTCAGTTTCTTAATTAACCAGCACAGAAACGACTCAAAATTTTAGCAGTAATACAAATATTAGTAGGTGAGCGATTTTATCGATCATAATTTGGTCATGGTTACATTCAAAAGCATCGTCTTTAAGTTTATTGTCTAGACACAAGCGCTGCAAAAACTGAGTAATATAATTAAAGCTACATAGATCAAAATTTATCATCGTTTAAAAGCAAAGTGCAAAATAACGCCCTATTTAAAATACAGTTTCGTTTGAGCATTTTAAATAGCTATGAATGGTTATAGTATAAAATTGTATGAAATCTACGCATTAAGATATAAACAAGTCTTAATAACATAAGAAATATATGAAATGCAATAAACATTATGAAAATAAGTTTTTAAGACTAATCGATGATTTAGTATAAAATTACCGAAGAAGCCAAGGGAAACCGATTCAAATCCCAGGTCTCGCATCTCTGATATTTTCAGATGCGAATGATTTCCAACATGATTACCACTTCATCTACTAGTACTTACTTCACCGTAACGCATTACAGTGAAGGAAAACATCGTGAGCAAACCTGCATGTCTGAGAGAACCTAGCAAGTTTTCGATAGACTTGTAAAGTACGCTAACACGTACTTGGCCAGCGTGATGAACTATAGCTTGATCCCCCTCGCATTGATGGGAGGACCGTGCACAGCAGTGGGACGTTAAAAAAAAGGGCTGAATATTCATTGTTCATATTCTCGTCCCCTACATTAAGGGTGTTAAATCTCCAATTCCTAGAATTTGCTATATAATATATCATAACTTTACTAACTTGGATATTTTTGACCACCCCATAGTCAGATATAGATAGTTTTAGTTTCTTTTTGGCTTGTGCATTATATTAAAAAATAATTATTCAAAAAAATATTTTTATCGTTTAATATTATAATATTTTTAAGTGATGCATATTGCGTTTAACTGTAAAAGGTTTTGCGTTTTCGATTTTTATTTGTCAATGTTTTTTTTTAAATGTAAAATTATTGTTTAATCTATAGAGAAGAAACTTATTACGTATTGACTTTAGTGATGTTCATTTTTTTATGAAAATTCTTAATTTAAGGATTTTCGCATATAATTATTATAATAAGCTTAGTATGTTAATATTACATGTTAATAATTTTTATTGTAACAGCCAAAATCAATTATTAATAAAAAATTAAGCATTATTTTTGGTAACAATTCCATTTCTTTAAAGAACGTTAACATTATTGATCTTAAATGGGTTAAACTAATAGTGCCAGGTGAAAATTTTCCCCCGCCTTGTTGTGGTGGTGGTGGTGGGGGAGGGGCTCAATAGTGCCCGGCAATCCAGCCGGGCGCAAAGCCAAGAAACACACAGGGAGGTGGCCCACTTCGGTGGGCGGTGGGAGGTAGCCTTTTTCGGTGGGTGTACCATACGGGTTGCTCGTGGTACTTGTCTGATAGCAGAGTAGACTGTGGAGCAACCCCATGGTTATTGTGGTTCGACCCTGCGACACCCCATTAAGACGAAGGGGGTTTTATTGGGTTTTAGTGGGAAGTATTGGCTTTTCTAACCGGTGAGGCCTACACATAATACGTATACAGGTGGTATACGTAAATGCATTTTCCAACATTAAAAAAGGTGATAATTTCTTATCAAAATGCATATAAACTAAAATTAATATTAAAAATCGCGAGGATAACCTAAGAAGTTAATATCTTTATTAAACATGGATTCATATTATTGCTATGATTTGTGCGACCATTTATGTATTTGATTTGACTAAGAATTATAAAATAAATAAAATTTAATAATTTAAAATTCAAATATAAATAATTTTAAACAAGTATAAGAATCTTACTAAAATTGAATAAATATTGACTTACATTAGTTAAATTCCCGATGAAGAATTGTTATTCATACTTAATATAGTATCACTAAAAAAAGCTACGAATATAATTCTATCGCCCTATTAATACTTACAACGTTTTTAGGAATAAAATATTATTATATTATTAATTACAATGAAATCTTGTTAAAATATATATTATAAAAAATCCACGCTTCAGTATTAGTATGGTAAATATATATAAAGTCATATAAGAGACTCCCAATGTTGTTCTAAGAACCTATACAATAAATGGTACCTATCGTTTACCCCCATCATTTTTACTTTAATCTTGATACAAAAATTGACCAATTGCTTTAAATATATTCATCTCTTTTGACATATATATTCGTATTTTTTTTTATTTCGTGCTCATTTATCTTCTTAATATATATAATTCTTCTGTACGTGTGTTTGTCACCTTACTCCTCTTAAAGGACTAAACCGATTTGGATAAAATTTTGTGTGTATATTTCAATGGGCTCCTGGATAGTTTGAAAACACAAATAAATCCTGCTGGTATAACCCTGCTGATCTTCTCCTAATAGGCAAGGGCGATTTTAATGTTATTTTTTTGTATAGGTCCGATTGGGTCCTTGCAAGGTTTAAATTCACAAATGGAACCGGTAGGTGACGCTGCAGGCGGCGTTTCAAAAAGTTTGTTTTTGTAGTAGTTTGAACGCGGGTGAAGCCGCGGGTACTGCTAGTAATATATAAATTTGGTACTTCTCATCAAAAGTTATATAACAAGATTCCACTGTACGCATCAAATTACTTTATTACTAACATTTAGCAACAAAACGTGTAAAAGCTACCACTTACAAAATTATTATTTTTTCTAATTCAATATTGGCTACAATTTTATAATAGTATAAATACTGAAAAGTTGATTGATTACATTTTTATATGCTTATATGATATAATATTAGTACAAATGGGACGTTTCAATATTACAAATACAATTTTATAATATATTGAACTCTACATCTACTTAGTGTTTGAAAATGTAAGCATTTAGTGACTTAGAGTATAAACCTTAAGACATGTCGCCCCCATTTTTCGTCCGTTTTTAATCAAAACTAAATTATTTCTAAATTTAATAAGGAAATCTAAGGCAAATTTAATGTAATTTTACTTAAAAATCATTGTTTTATATAATTAATAAGTAATATAACACGATTTAATATAATTTATCAACATTCATATGTATACATATAAAAATTTCGAATTATCCTTTCTGCTACGTAGCTCCTCCTGCTACGTCGTAGCTACGTAGCAGGAGAAGTGGAGCACATACTTTAATTAACGCGTAAGATGATGACAAATATTTAATAATGACTTAAAATACTTCCGCATAGAATCAAACCTAAGACTTTTTAAATTGTTTACGCACTAATACACTAACAATATTTGATGCAAATCGTGCGTTTTTTTTGTTGGTTATCACGCAAATACAATAAAACATCACTTTAAAGTAGAAAATAACTATTTTTATAAAAATTAATTATAATAGTTGTTAGAAAGACTCTATAGGTTTAATAACAGCATCATTACTTGAATCAGTAAACACAAACTTCGTTCTATTTTTATTTATAATTCGTACACAAATATATATAAATAATAAGCTCTGACATCCGAGATGTATATTTGTATCATGTTATTGTTAGCTTTAGTTCCATTTTTCCAGTTAAAGAGATTTTAGCAATCTTATGAAGTCTTTTTCCTATGAGAATTGTAATAATAATAATATTAATTAATATTATTATAAAGATGGGCTAATGTCAAAACTGCATGCCTTTTGGCAAAATTATTATGGCACAAAAAGGCAAAATTTAATTTTCTTAAAACTGTCACCAATTGTGTTTAGATAATTATTCCAATATATACAATAATGTAAATTGAACTTGAAATGCAATGCTTAAAGTTGTTTTCACAAAAAAAATGAAGAGCGCGCTTAAAAGTTCAAATGAGCGCTTGTTCGGGGAGAATATTTTTTGTCGCGGATCTAGTACTTTTTAGATCGATGTTAGCAAGTTAAGCGTAAATCGAAGTACAAATAATTTATTTTCTTTCCAGTTGAAACTTTTACATTTAACAATTTAAAAGTTTATATCATATTATTCCTTCTTTTACTCACAAGCGAATATTGCAAAACTACTTTATAATTAAAACAATAAAATACAATTAAATTTATTCTTATGGATAAATGAACAGGTCAAAACTTAATAATACTATAACAATATTGATAAATAAACATGAAACTAAAATTTTTACAGTTGATAGAGGTCCACACCTGGCTTGGCTACGGAAGAGCGACGCACGTTAACGCCGCCCTTCTCCGCGGATCAGACGTGAGTGAAGCTTGCATGGACCGCATCCTCTTGTGAGATCTGCGTGCCCGCGGGGAAATACTACAAATATTAATAAATTATCATATTATATACGTGCAATATAGATAATTAAATACGTCAATATATATTACCATACATATACAATAGGTTTTGGTCATTCAATTTGTAAGGATTTTCAAAATAATGATTACATAGTAGAGAGGGGAAAAATCACATAATTACAGGAAATGTGATACGAAGTGTTTGTTAGTACAAACTTAGTACAAACATTTTTTTATATTTGGAAGGTATGAGAATAGGTCGTAAAGTATTTTTCACCTTCTTACCCCTCACCTTCCATTTTTTAATCGCCATTTTAGTATTTTTTGGATGAACAATATATAAATATATAGCTGTATATTATATAAATACATAACAAAACATATATACATAACGTATAACATAAAAACAAAAAAAAATTTGTAGATTGCTAGTTGTTTTTTTTTCTGCTAGCATAATATAAAAATAAAATTTTCTTTAGAACAAATCATGCATTTGTATAAAATGTTTACGTAAAGGAAACGACTTGTCAAGAAAATTAAAAAGACTTATATTTAAAGGCTATACGATACAATAATTTTATAATTAAAAATGATATGATTTTACACCGTATAATTTCTACTGAAATGGAATATTTAAAATCAAAAGCAAGTCAAAATTCAATCTATAATATATAAACAACTGAGTGAAATAATAAATATTTACAAACTAAATAAACACAATATATAAAGACGAGTGATCTCAATTAGGAAGACAAATGGACGCGGAATAAAATTTACAAAGGCAGTTAGAAAGCAAATTGTTGACACGACAGTATAAATGGGGAACAAACCTAACTCTGTAACAACGTGGTAAATTATAACTTTCTAGGTTATTACAAATTTAAATATAATAATGGATCAGTTTTAAATTTTAGAAGAGGTTTAGTTGTATTTATCTTATACTAGCGACCCATCCTCACTTCGCTCAGGTTCATCCCTAGGTACGTTTTAATTGTTAGTATGGAATAGATAGAATATAAATTAGTATATATATAGGTACCATGAGTTTTATATCCCTTACTTGAGAAATGATTGATTGACATATAAACTTTTATCCCTCTTTTCAACCCCTTAAGGGTTGATTTCCGGGATAAAAACTATCCTATGTCCTTCTTCATATTAAATATCATCTAAATCAGTTTACCTTTTTTTTTGAACAAGCTCACGAACTTACAAACTTTACCTCTTTATAATATTAGTGTATAATAATAGTAGATATATGTACATTATGCACATTACATTACACACATATATTCAAGACTACGAGTATTCCTTTGTAGAACTGTAGACCATCATAGAACATCATAGAACTATGAATGAATTATATAATTCTTTATTTGATTTGATTTATTTAAACATATTATTTTCCTTCTACAATTTTTTATTGTAAAATCTATACATATAATAAAATTCTGAGTCCAATCTGTACATTGAACATTTTTTTGGAAAATCTTATTGAAATGGTAATTATTATTGATACTGAGACCGAATCTATAGTTTTTAGAAATTTTGTTTCTCTCTGTCTGTCTGGTAACGCATGTAGAGAAAACGACTAAACATATTTTGATGACATTTAGTATGATGATAGCTGGTTATCCCGGTCAACATATAGGATACTTTTTATTATTATTTACTGCGGGATAATTATCTCATGTCTGAGAAATCTATACTAACCATTAAAACGTATCTAGCCGAACAGTTCAATTAAAAAAATTACAATTTTAATATTAGACAATTGGGTAACTTTACATTCAGTCACTATCAAGGCAAAATAAAATTTATCTCCTGTGATGTGATAAGCAGTGATAAGATACGAGTGGGTACCTATATACCATAGTATTCGTTTAATAAACTTTAAACACGGATCGTGGATTTTTGACATAGGATTAATATTACATTCCTTTAACAAAAATAAAAATAATAAATTTGCCATTAGAAAGGGTTACTTACCATATTTTTTTACTTGAATACCATTCATAATCCAAATATTAAAAAACACATAGTAAGATATTATTTATATCAGAGAATATAAGGCAAGGAGAAAAGATGTTCAAAATACAGGAAAACTGTCATACATAGACGAAATATTAGTTATATATCAGTGAGTACATGATGGCACCAGAATCGGGGTATTAATTTAATTAAAAAACTTACAGATGCATTTTAATAAAACTTGCGGTGTCTATTGCCCATCAATTCTCTTCCTAAGAGGAAGTCATTGTACTGAGATTGAAAAATAAATATTATGTTATTACAATTGTATTATAATAATTTATAAATTTTAAAATAGCAACTAATAAATAGTTCTACAAATAAACACTTCTATAATTATAATATATTTATACGATATCAATAATAATTAAAAAAATCAATTTAAAATTCAATTGTCAATAATTCAATAGGGAATATGTGTGCTATTTAAATAAAGGTGAAATATTTTTATTTATAATATTTTTTTATTAATATTTTTTAATGTAATTTCTTTTTGATTAAGAAAATAATAATAATTATTATTAAAATGTAGGAAAGTTCAAAGTTGTTGAAACGCAACGCCATTGGTTAGACCGAATATGACGTCAGAGTATATCATAACAGAGCGATTAACGATTTTGTCGCTACAATATGAGCCGTCATTTATATGTATATCATACTGTGACGTCACGCCAAGCGCGCGAAATGGCGAGCGTTTAAAGTATCCGTATCAGTATGATATTATTATTTATTTATTTTTTAACAAATTTTAGTTTTTCATATAATACGTATACGATGTTAGTTATTATATAAGAAATTAAAAAAAAAACACAGATATTCCCTATTTGTTAGTAACCGATATAAAGATCAACAAGTCATTGTACAACCGTACTAACTTAAATATGCGACGCCGGAGCCAAATAGGACAGAATAATTTTACTTAAGATGCTTAATGAAATATAATATACACAATTAATGTAGATATAGCAGTATATATAATTGTACAATGATATAAAATAATCGACTTCATAAGAATATCTGGTAACTTACCCCAGCAAATGCCGCACCGTTCCAACCAAGGCGATCTTCCCTTTGTGGGGTCCTTTGTGGAGTCTTCCGTTCGTGGGAAGCGAGTCTAGCTTTAGCTCGTAACGCTGTACTCAGTGGCACATTCGCTCTCGCGGCTTCAGCACGTCCATGTTGACAGAATTCCAACAAAGCAACACCTAATGCTAACGCCAGACCACCTACTAGCACATAGAATATGCCAGCTACTTGAGACAGCGTCATTTCTATTATCGTTGACTCCTGAAACCGGTAGATTAATCCATATATATAAAAGGAATATCACTTATTAATTAATAATATAACAACATAAATATTTTGTGGAAATTCAATTCCTAAAAGATTAAAGGGGTTGGAAAAATTATAGCGATAAAATTTTAGTCATATATATAAAAAAATATATGATCCTCCAAAAAATAATATAAATATGATTTTTCATCTATACATAATAATAAAATTCTGAGTCGAATCTGTACATTAAATATATTTTGAAAATCTTATTGAAATCATTATATCGGTACAGAGGCCGAATCTGTAGTGTTTAGAATTCCTGTCTGTCTGTCTGCAAACACATCACGATAAAACCACTGGACCGATGATAGCTATTTATCTGGGTTAACATATATGATACTTTTTACTGCGGGAAAACATTTCATCTCTAAGAAATCTACACTAAACGTTCAAACGTAGCTACTTGTATATAAAATTACTCGGTCAATTTCATTTGTTTCAGAACAATACCCAGATTATATCGATAATACTTAAACAATATTATTATTCGCATAAGCGTCTTATTTTAAAGAGGAATAATATTATATAATTTACGATTCTCATTTACTACAAGGAAATAGCGAAATGAAATGAAATTCATCCATGAAAATTTTGAAGGATCTCTCTCATAGGGGATTTTGAGCTACTTCATTTGTTTCAATGTTATTTTTGGACTAGATTTTTATCAATTGTTTCATAATAACAAATTATGCCATGGAAAAGTCGCTTCATTTCACATGAGAATACTTGTGTAACCACTACAAAATACTAATCTTAGTCTATACATTGTACATTTTGTCAAAGAATCTCTTTTTTATTCCGTTTCCTCGTGTTTCTGGTATAATATAAATAAAATTGAAGTGTATTTCGGCAATTTCGAAGGTACAGCACTTTATAGCTCGTGATTCAGTTTATTTTTCTGGATAAAATACGCAAAAGTCGTTTTAACTATATATATATATATATTAAAGTATAATTGAAACTGATCAACCTCCACTTATATGTAAAACAACAACTTAAATCTAATTTTTATTGTATTTTTTTCTAGTAGATAATATTTAAAGTAAATATAAAATTACCATACGTTATTTATTTTTTTAGTTTTTAAACTAGCACATTAGCCTTTACTGTTGGCAGTATTCCAACAAGGCGACTCAGAAAGCAAGCCTCTAAGACGCGAAAGATCCAAACAACTTCATTTCCGTGATCGTTGTTTCTTGTGACGGAAAATTTCTAGAGACCCAATTTTTATTTAATTAATTTAAAAAAAACTTGTATGTTATTTCATATAACAAATTTGTTTGGTATTTTATATAACAAACAAATAAAAAAAATTTGTTAAAGAACGTTTGTGTGCTTAAGACTATTATACAATTAATGATTTTATAGAAGATGGCACACCTTGGGAATGAAATGATCGCCTCCAGGCTACTTCAACTTGATAGAAATATTGTAAATTATAATTTTACTTTAAAAAAAGATATTGGTCCCGCTGAGTTTCTTTCGCCAGTTCTTCTCAGGTCTGAGGCTTCTTCTTTCCGAACTGGTAGTAGACTCATGACGTTCAGTAAAAAATTGTAATAATTTAATGCTGAATAAAATATTTTGATTTGATTTGATTTGAAGAAATATAAACTAGAGGGTAAAAATAAGCCTATTCTATGTCTTTTACAAAATAGCTAAATTTTCTACAGTAACCTGAATATATAAAAAAATTCTGGTGCCACGTTCACCAGAAATATTCGAAATTCTGCTTCTCTTAAATGGCTTTATCGATTTTGATGACATTTTTTGTGTACTTATGTGTTTACCTAGATGGTTCTTTGCCATAGTTGGACCCATCATTTTAGCCATGGTTGGTTTTGGTGGTGCTGTAGCCGAGATTGTTTTTTTTTATTTTCCGACCAGATGAGTTTTGTGGCAGGACAACTTCTGCCTGCCAGTGGTACTAGTCTCTTAATAAACTTGAATTATAACTCTTAAAACTTAGATAATTGGTGGAGTATATGCTTTGGAGATTGATTAAAATTAATCTCCAAAGCATAAATTATAATTTCGCAAATAATTATCTGCAAAATACCTTGTCGAACTCTAATGCATCGTAAAAGGACAAACTAATTTATTATATTATTATTATTATTATTACTATCTAAAGAAGAAAGATAAGTGAAACTCCGTACGTGACAACGCTCTAGGAGTAGCGCTTACTGATTCAGAATATTTATTTGCATCCCTTATACGTAAGTAGCATTTTAAAAAACAGTTAATAGAAAAAAAAATCCTTTTAAGGCGTATAAAATGAAACAAAAGTATTGGATCATAAAAAAACAAACCTCGTCCTTGACCAAATCGCAGTCGGGTTTATTTGTAGTCAACAGCCATTTCCGCCATAACTTGGAAATGAGGCCATCTCTCTTCATGTTGACGATCGCTAGATTTATTCCCTCCCTGGAATAGTGATATTGATTGTCAGCATTTTTTATTTTGTGCAAAAAATGTGGTTTTATGTGGCTAATGTTGCATCACTCTCGATCTATGTTATTATGGTATTGTTTTTTTGTAGAATCTCTAACTTATAATTTACCTACTGATCTAGATAGTTTTGTGTATCAATGTACTTATAATATTTACTATATTTACTTATTTTGATGACACGTTTGGCTCAGTTTGAAGGGTCCCTACTTGCTGTGCCAGCGGTCACAGGTTTGAGTCCAGCTGGGGGCATTCATTTGTGTAATGAGCACGAATATATTTTGTAATCCAGTCATGGGTGTTTATATTTACAATACGTATGTATTTAACATTATATATGTGTAGTGTATCAACTATCTGGTATCCATAACACAAGCCTCGTAGCTTACCATGGAACAAGATGGTGTTGTGTGTTAATGTCCCAAACATATTTATTTATTTACTAAGATCGTGGAATAAATTTAGCATTCTACTCATTCATTACAGAAGCAACGTAGTTTTTCTTAAAATTTTTACGTATTATCATACCTAATTCGGTACTCGATATCGAAATCTGACACATACCTATTTTTGCTTAGTTACCCATCACCATGGGTAGGTAATACGTTAATATATAAAAAGTAATTGCTTAATTAGTTAAATTTATATAACTTTAACGAATACAAAATATGTATGTAAAATATTACATTTAAAACAGTGCAATGCAGTATAATACCTAATAAAAATTTCCTCGCTGGTTCAGATTTTATTGCATCCGCAATATAATTTATAAAAGGCTAAGATCGTGATAAAAATCACCTATCCATACCTCACCCCGCCGCACCGGGAGAAGAATCTCGCGATTTCACAGCATCCAATAAAGTCTCTGCTGAATCGCGGTATCATAAAATCACAGCTGTATGTTATAAAATGTAAATTTCAACTTGTTGTTAAAAATCACGTTCGCAAATCGTGTACCATAAAAATGGGGTGGTATAAATTCAAAATACGGAGCACCCACTTCCCTACTGACGGGCCCATGTAAATTTACGACTATTCAGTATTCAACTGGGAATTACCGTACAGAGAGATTTAAGCCAGACAACGGGGACTCCCCAGTAGGAGAGCTAGTTTACGCGGGAGGCGATTCTCCGATATACCTATTACCGCTCTTTTTTTATTTCCATCGCCACCGTGCTTCTAGAAATGGACTTTTACCGACCATTGAGTTTTTTCCAATTTGATCCTTATACGATTTGTACATTCCTTCCGCTTATATTTTCGAGGCTATTCCGGTGAATGGAGGCCATAATTCAGTTTTCTGCTCGAAGACACGTTATAAGCGGTTGAGTCGCTATGACGGCAGAGTAAAAATCAGAGCTTGTTTATGCCCATTTCTGATCCTCTATGGATTTAAAACGCTTGAAATCACTCAGCGTCCATATTTGTTCAATTACAGCGCTTTGTTATGTTTTTATTCCCTTTTGTGCGATTTCAAGCAATGTGGTATAATTTAAAAAATTTCAAGCCACAATTCGTGTTCGTTTATTTTCTTGTATTTATTATGTATTTTATTGAACAAGTTGCTATAGATTTGTAAAACTGTTATATTTATATCATAGGCAACTTTATTTTTGCTTTTAAATGGGTTTTTGTTTTTTATTAATACTTGAGGAACAATAATAACCGCCTATTCCATTTAAAAAAAGTTATTGCCAAAAGAAAAATATATTTTCCGATTTGTAATGTAACATTACACCGTTCCTAAAGTACAATAACGTAACATTATTTTTTCTCAGTGCTGTATTTATAAAACACTTAAAACAGTTCGTGTTTGTAAGACAAAGTAATAGCCGAGCTGTGAAAAAAATTGTCACATCGCATATATTTTGTCACATCAACGCAGCTAAAAAGTTTCAAAAACGGGTACTATTTTGAGTCTTGATCAAAGCCACGTTCAAAGGATCAATCATTTTAAAACAGTGTTGACAGATAAAAAGAAATAAAAACTGTTTGTGACATACGCCGCTTTGACCGTTGACATTATTGCCCGTGAAACTCCGCATGGAAATCCCCCGGGTTAAAAACCCCTATCTACGTTTTTTCATTGACATTACGGATATTAAGCCACAAAATATAGATGGCATCACGTCTACAGTCGTTTAATACTGTTTAATCGACATTGGAACTTAACTGCAGTTCAAAATGGTAAATAGATTATGCATACGTTCTAACAAAGGAGTTGTGTAAACAAAATATGTAGAATATTGCAATACAATAACCGTCCATTGTAATTTTTTTTTGCAATAAAATTATAAAACTGAATTGCTGTTTTGAGAGTTGCAGATTCTCATTTTATATCAAAAAGTGCAACATAGCGAACTAATTTTAAAAGTTCGTTTGTGGAACCTTTGATGTTTTACTGGACATGAATTACGGAAGTACTTTTTTTATTTATTTATTCAAACATAATCCATGCTACTTACTGATAATATAGCTTTCTATAGGCAGAAAAATTTCTGAAATCGGTTAAATTAAAAAAAAACCCCCGACCGGACCGATTTTAATTAAGCATAGCTAAGAACACTCCCGACTAATTCACCCTTCAAACAAAAACAAACAAAATCGAAATAAATCATTCGTTCGAGAGCTACGATGGCACAGACAGACACACTCACAGACACGTCAAATTTACAACCCCCCGTCGTTTTTACGTCAGGGTTAAAAATTAAATAAACGCATATCACTTTTTGCGTCATATTCAAATTAAATATTTTGTATGTCTGTGTACATACACAGTTTACATATTTATTATTTCTTAGAAACGGCTGAACTGATTTGGATAAAATTTTGTACATTGAGTTACCACAGGCTACTGTTAGGTGGAAACGCGCTCGACCTAAATGAAGGCAAATTTCTAGCAATATTCGAATTCAATCAAACGCACCCAAAAAATTAAAATGGCATAAACGAGCAAAAATACGTAAAAACTACACAGACACACCGTCGAATAATTTATTATCAAGGACGAATAAGAAACATTTATGGTTGTGTCATAATTATGTCACTAAGTATAATATTCATGCTTAAGCAATTTACGTCGCGAGTATCGCTGTTTATTGCTAGGCGTGTCGTGTAAACAAAATGTAATGGGAAAAACGTCGCGATCTTAATGTACATACTAGCGGTTTGGAAGTGAAAATTTTCCAGGATACACGGTTTCTTGCCAATGCCAGTAACTTGCCAATAATAAAATTATTTCAAAACCCAACGTACTGTAGTAGTTATTGAAAAGCACACAATGCACGCTTTTTATTGGTTTGATACTCAAAGATACAGATTTTGTAGTGTTTCGCTTTGTTTCTAAATTGAAGCTGTGAATATTTTTTATTTATTTGTTTCAAGCAATCTTCTTATAATACGAACAATATCATTGATGAGATTGTTAATGAAACGACTTTACCAATTATATTCAAATTGTGTATTATTTTTTTTAATTTAATAATAAAACTACAAATAACTTTATATTTACTATATATATGTTTTTTTTTGCCAATAAAGATAGAAGATAAGAAAATCTGGATCCAATAGGTGATGCCTAGTTTGATATTAATGCTCTTAAGTGTAATAATGGTTCTAGAATATATTGTACTATATAAAAATCTATTTTTATGTGGAAACCTACTAAAGCGGGTTCAAATCCCGGGTCAGGCCAGTCACCTCTGATATTTTCATGTGCGAATGATTTCCGATATGATTAACACTTGCCTTACGATGAAGGAAAACATCGTGAAGTAACCTGCATGTCTGAGAGAACCTAGCAAGTTTTCGAAAGACACATGAAGTCCTCCAAACCGTACTTGGCCCTTGTATTGAAGGGAGACCCAGGCCCAGCAGTGGGACTTAAAAATGGGCTGAATACATATAAAAATCTATAAATGGATTTTTATAAAGTAAATATTTCTTACTTTCTTTTTAATCTATATCTATAATATTAAATGAGCAATTTTTGTATACATTTTTTATGTGTTTTGGAAACGGTTCTAATTAATCTATAAAACGGCGACTTTGGTTGGTTTGTATGTATTATATATTTTTATTATATTTATTTACAATAAAAGAAATTACAAATATATAATACTTTCTTAGATTTACGCGAATATTTGACATTTTAAATAAAACTATCTTTTCGGATTTTGTCGCGGATTTATTTGGATTTTTGTTTCCCGACGTTTCGAATGCTTTACAGCATCCATGGTCACGGGAGAGACTGAGGTGTTACATGTCTTGAATGTATAGTTGTTACAGACAGCCTACCCACAATTAACAAAATGAAAATTGCACCAATTACATTACAATATTTTTTAACTTTAAACATTTTTATAATTTTAATTATAATTGAATATGGCAAATTATTTATTTAATTTTGCTATTATTTTTATAATTATTACAATTTTAAAATATTAATTAGTAATCTATATTTAGTGTTGCCATTATTATATTTATAACCATAAAGAAAAATATAAAATATAGTATTAATTATTAAAGCCATATAATTGTTCTATGTGTAATTTAAAAAGTTAAAATTAATTAAGGATAATAATTTTAATTTAGTTTGCTATTATTTAAAAACAACTTACTAAGCAACACTATTAATATACACTTTTACAAATGAAAAATGAAAAATATTAGTCTGATAAGCTGTCATTTTGATCTACACAGTATGAACTTACTACATCTGCCTGTCTGTTATGTTTATATTTATTATTTGATTTTATTATATTAATAACAGGATCCCATGACGATGGTAGTACCCAGCCATCTTCCCTATTGAAATTAGGATGTTTTTTAATTTCTATGGCTTCTCGAATCATTCTAGGGCGATATCGGTTTTCTTTCGCCAGGATTTGAGGTCTATCGAAGCGAATATAAAGGCTTGGGCGGTCCTGACTATGTTTGCAGACAGCAGATGTTGTATTGCGACGGTGCTTCACATCAGCTATGTGTTCTTTGACCCGGGTTCTAATGGATCTCTTTGTTTGTCCGATGTAAGAGAGCCCACAATCACAATCAAGCTTGTAAACTCCTGCATCTTGTAGAGGGATGTGGCACTTGACAGGTGGTAGAAACTGACTAATTTTCTTTGGCGGCTTGAAGTAAGTTTTAATTGAAGCTCGCTTTAGAATGTAGCCAATCTTGTCAGTGACGCCTCTCATGTAAGGTAGGACTGCAGGGACGCGCTCGACTGTGGCTGGTTTCACTCGGTCCCTGTGACGTAGGCGCGGCACTTGCAGCTTGTTGTCTCGCAGAACTTGCTTGACATGTTGCAGCTCTCCGGCCAGGTGTTGCTCGTCACAGATCCCGCGTGCCCTCTGAAACAAAGATTTTCCCACGGTAGCTAACTGTGAAGGGTGGTGGTGAGATTCACCATTCAAGTACCTATCAGTATGGGTCTTCTTTCGATACACAGTATGAATAGAAGAATATAGATAACACCTTAAGTCATACTGTGTATCGAAAGAAGACCCATACTGATAGGTACTTGAATGGTGAATCTCACCACCACCCTTCACAGTTAGCTACCGTGTCCGAAAAGATAGTTTTATTTAAAAATTACAAATATACTTTATATATGTATATACCTACAAAATGAATGCACACTCAACTATAGTAATAGTTAAGTGTGCATTTCTTTTGTCAACATGTCTGCAGCTCTTTTATCACCAGTAAAGGGGATAAGACGAGGTGTTGTCTTTTATGAAGTGTTAAGCAGATGGACTCTTCAAATGGTATAAAGGTATAATTTATATAAACACCCATGATTGTGGTACAAACATTCGTGCTCATCACACAAATGATGGCCCCCAGCGGGACTGGAACCCGCGACCGCTTGCACAGCAAGTAGCGTGACTACAAACTGAGCCAAACGTGTTGTCGAATATTAAATCCATATCTATCATTAATAAAAAAAAACCACTAGAACCACATCGTCTTTTCTTTTAGCAAACGAATATGCCCTGTATAATTATATTATACTTATAATAATTAAAATTTTAACTGTAATAAGCTTTTGTAATAGAAAAATCGATTCTCCTGTATTTACCTTAAAGGCGATCCCTTTGGAGTGGCTATCCCGAAATTAATAAATTTGTATTTGCATACGCGTGTTAGAGAACAGTCCTCAGCACTTTCTACCAGCACGTTTACGTTCTCTTCCTTCACCAGATTGGGGGTAATGTGGTTCTGAAAACAAATCTTCATGAATTGACTAAATTACTTAGTATAAATATTAAAATAAAAAAATCCTTACTGTACAAAAACCGAACAAAAAACATAAAAACAAGTCAACAAAGAAACCGAAAAATGATAACAAATAAATTAAGCCCTAGCTCCTGATATAGAAAAACGTGTTTCTGTAAATAATACCTTCTCATCAGATGTATCAAATGCTATCTATATGCATACAAATAAATAAAATTGAAGTGTCTGTTTGTAATGTCAAAATAACAGCTTTTTACTAAATTCATCTGAAATTACATACGCTTATTTATATGAAAAAAAAACGCGATTCTTAATTTTTTTGTCTGTCTGTCTGTTTGTTTGTTCGAGCTAATCTCCGAAAAGACTTGACTGATTTTAACGGGAGTTTCAGTGGCAGATATCTGATGTTATAAGAAGTAACTCAGGCTACTTATGTTCTAGAAAAAGTATTAGGATTACGCTCAAAAAATATAAAACGTATCTAAGGACACACCGGAGCGAAGCGAAAATAAATCTCTACCTAGAAAATAAAAGTATATTTTTATATAAAAAAATGTGTGTATGTATGTTATATAACCTATGTTGTGCTTAATATTACAAAAATAAACATTTTATTTAACTTAAAGACAAAATAGTTTAACGATTGATATTAACGGACAGACATTTTTAACTTGTTTTAAATCGTAATTTTAAAAGACCTTGTTAAAATAAGCACTTGCCTTATTTCAAATTCGCAAGTTAAAGATCAATTTTAATATATTTAATTGAATGTCTAAATAGGATCATTTATAGTCCTTACAACGAAACGGGGTAGGTCTCATATAATTAATGGTAGCGGGAATAAGCTACTTTATTTAGAATTCGAAGCACGTCTTGAGAAAGCTCTAAGCCACGTTGAAATATACACTTAAATGTTGTCAAACGCTTGGTTAAGTTGGATTCTAGAATATAATTTTAAAGTATAAATTTTTGAATTGCTATATATATATATATATATATATATATATATATATATATATATATATATATATATATATAAGATATTTTTAATTTTCTCAGAAGTATATACTGAATAATGATTAATTAATAAAGTGCTAGAGCTATAAAAAACAAATATAACATGGATGATAGCTTATTAACATAATAAGAACCATAAAATAAAAAAAAGAAAATGTATTATATATTTCTTTTATATAATCATAAATAAAATAATGAATTAATAAATATTATATATGTATACAATACAACGTATTTTCATTTACATAATTTATTTATTTACATTTATTTAAATAATAACTTTCGCTTAATCGATATTTTTTATGACAGCCAATTTCTAAGACTAACCAACTACTTGAACATATCATAGAGCAATGCGTGCAAGTGACTTATATTCCTTCCACTCTCAAAGTCCGATGGGACGACAATTCGACACGACCGGTAAGAGATAAGGCGCAGGAACGACGGCTTAACAAGTTCTGTAAGACACAGGGGTGTAGGTAATCGTGGCCAACTTTACAACTCCGAGCTACTACGAATATATTAGTTATTTTATTGTTCTGTAAGTTCTATAACAAAAACAAAGTAACTTATTTGACCCGACCCGGGACTCGAATTCAGATCGTCATAATATACAGGCAGACATTTATTGTCCAACAAGCCGTCTGTGCTAGTTTATTTTACAAATGCCTTAAACTCACCGGATGAATACCGTGAAGTTAGTAGCATGTCTACTCAGAAAATTTTAAATAATCCGGTAACAAGTTTTTGACGAGAGCACGTCTCGAAAATTGTGACATTAGTTTGAAAGTTCGAAAGTTGGGAAGATTTTGAAAAGTTATAAAATCTCGAAGCTTGCAGTTAGTTTGGCTAAGTTTCATATTCATATGACGAGTAAACATGCTTGCTATAATTGGGTATCATTGGTATTGTAAGTTATGATATATTATTGCACTCTCTCCGTCTGGAATTTTGTACGCTATATCTTAATAGTTTATATTTTTAAAGTCTATATTTCTATCTTGTCGTAATTATGTTAAAATAATTAAATGTAGTTTTTTTATTAAATCCTTAATAATTTTTTTAGAGTATTAAAAAAATTTGTATTTTCATTAAAAAAATATAGGATATTTAATTCACACAAAAAAAGTTTTTGTTGATATTAGTTAATAGAATAATAATAAATTTCTATTTTTTTATTGCGGATTATCAAAAATATTAATAAAATATTTTTAAATATATTATAACGCTTCAATAAATAAAATTCGCTTCGCAACGCAACTTACTCTCCAGAATCAAATTCCACATATACTTATGTATGTATCTTTTTTGCTCTTTAATTAACTTAATATATGTATAACAGTGCTATAGTTAAATCTGTAAATTTAATTCAAGTATAGATTTCAAATAAAAAATAACACGCAAGCATAAAAAACACCTTACACATACAATATTTTAAGAAAACACAATAAAAACCCTTTTATTGCAAAAGTACGTATACATTGAATACCTACCTAGAGAGATGTTCTTATTTGCTAATAGTAATAGTATTCAGCCCTTTTTAACGTCCCACTGCTGAGCACGGGCCTCCCTTTAATATGAGGGGGATCAGGCTATAGTCCACCACGCTGGCCAAGTGCAGATTGGCGGACTTCACATGTCTTTTGAAAACTTGCTAGGTTTTCTCAGACATGCAGGTTTCCTCACGATGTTTTCCTTCACCGTAAAACAAGTGGTAATCAAGTTGAAAATGATTCGCACATGAAAATATCAGGGACCCGGGATTTGAACTCACTTCACTCGGTTTCCCAAGCGAGTGCGTTTTCACTGGGCTACACCACTGCTTATGCAAGTAGCATGATAAAATACTAAATATATTCAATCGCCACAGCATCCTAACTTCTATCTACCTCACCTTCGAGTATATCTTACATCAGTTCTCTCGAATCGTAGTACAGCGGGCTCGATCCGTTCTACTATGAGGTAAGCTGCGAGGTTAGCTGTGTAAGAGCAGACCAGTACCAGCGCGAAGAACCACCACACCGTGCCGACTATACGCCCGGAGAGTGATCTAGGGCAATATGTAATTAATTGGATTACTTATAAATGGGACAGTTTGTATGTATGTAACAAACATAAATTATATATATTATTTCTTTACTCTGGTTGTGCCGATTAGGATGAAATTTAGATTATGATCTGGAATACAATATATGTTACTGTTACGCATCTAGACAGACAGATGAATGTATTTAGAACTATTTATTTATTTATGTACACTAAAATATATGTTATACAAAATAAAGTAACAGATTGTCGACAAAGGATAACTTATCCCTTTAAGAGAGAGATTTCTTCGTAAAACCTTCCGAAAGTGAGAAAATAAGTTAATTTACTGCGGTGTAGGTACAGTACAGTATTAAATGGTTTAAACCTAATATTAAAATATATATATGTATAACCAAATTCTTTGGTTTTACATATTAGTATACTATTACATTGCAGTTTTTGTATTTTTTCTCAGAAATTAGATATTTTCCCGCGGTGAAAAGTATCCTATATGTTGAGCCGGATAACCAGCTATCATCATACCAAATTTCATCAAAATCTGTCCAGTAGTTTTCTCGTGATGCGGTAACAGACAGACAGACAGACAGACAGACAGACAGACAGAAGACAGACAGACAGACAGACAGACAGACAGACAGACAGACAGACAGACAGACAGACAGACAGACAGACAGACAGACAGACAGACAGACAGACAGACAGACAGACAGACAGACAGACAGACAGACAGACAGACAGACAGACAGACAGACAGACAGACAGACAGACAGACAGACAGACAGACAGACAGACAGACAGACAGACAGACAGACAGACAGACAGACAGACAGACAGACAGACAGACAGACAGACAGACAGACAGACAGACAGACAGACAGACAGACAGACAGACAGACAGACAGATCAAAATTCTAAAAACTGTAGATTCAAACTCTGTATCGATAATAATGTCTATTTCAATTAGATTTTCCAAAAAATATTTAATGTACAGATTTAAATAGAGACAGCTTATTTTCTGATTAAAACCACTCAGACTTAACAAAATGGGCAATTCCGCGTATTTTTACTAGTATTTACTTCATTTACAGAAAGATCTATCGGATAACGATGTAAAAAACGACATTAAAACTATTAACGTACGATTTTTAGCTTATTTTAAAACCCAAACACACCATATATAAATATTTTATTCACAGTTTCACCTTTAAATTCGTCAAACCGTTTAAGCTACGTAGCATGTTTAAAAAAATAGACATATTACGTACTTGTAACCAAACGACGTAAGTTTATTTATAAAAAAGTCACAAGTTAAAACCACTTTATTTAACGAACTTCCAATTCTAGTCCTAACAATCTTAGATGTGTATAGAATTTCATATTTTAATGTAATATTTTCACGCCCTGATAGAGACTCTGTGAAGCGGATTGTGGTAAGTAAATGTTAGCGAAGCTTAGACAAAACAAACAAAAAGCAAATATCTTCACGCCATGTCCCTCTCAAGTGAGATTATTGAGAGTCAACAGTACGCAGCGCTGAGTCTCGCATTCACTAAAATCCATGACAAATAAATATTTGTTTTCATGGGAATTGAACTCCAATCCTTCTACCTGATGTAAAGTTAATAAAGTACAGTTACTGAAAGACGAGATGTCTTTATAAATGATATTTGAACAGCTATAAATATTAACAATGAAAAAGGGAAGAGATAGAAATTGAAGTTTAAACTAGCATTTATATAAGTGGAAAATTAATGTGATTTTCCACCAATATAAGTAAACCCTCCTTGTTACTAATAATGAAATATATTTACATATATTATGATATATAAAGCAGTATGTTACCTCGGCACTACGTCGCTTCCTTGCTGCATGAACGATCCTAGTGAGAACCAGAACGAATTCCAAATACTGAATTCATTGTGTAAAATAATCTGAAAATAAAAATTAATTTTAGTTTCGCATTTCACTTTATCCACATACAAGTGCTTTAGTGAAAATTATTTTTGAAATTCTCTTTTCTCAGTATTGAATTTTATTTTTGTAAAAGTTATTCGAATGTTATTGTAAACTTTTTGTTGGCAATAATTTTAATATATATATATATATATATATATATATATATATATATATATATATATATATATATATAAAAATAATTATTTTAAATAGCTGAAGTATTTTTGGACTAATTATAAAATATAAAATATAATATCTAAAGTAACCCAAAGTAGAACAAGCATCCCCCTCTTACCCTCTTAGCATATCTATCAAATCAGCTCGAAGGTCAAATTAGTGTATTGTCAATTTTCCATTTGATACGACATAAAATGAGATTATTTTACAAGTGAAGTTTACATAATAACTAAGTGTTTTAAAAAGGAGTGTTGCATAAAAAATATAATTATCAGAGTAATAACACAGTCATTTGGTAGTTTTACGTGGAAAGTTTTCCAGGAGGTTTGAATGTTGGTATTTTTATAGATTTCGAGGAGTTTTTACTGAATTTTTACTTTGCTACATTGTATCTTTGCTGCTTGCGCAGCCATTTTGAAAAGATGGCGCCAAAACAGTTTTTTGACAATATCTACTTTCTTACTCATTTAACGATGAATAATAAATGAATTTAAAAAATATTATCTATAACTTACGAGTATGCCATAACTTTTTTATTATAAAATGAATAGTTTTAGAGCACAAGTGACTGAGCTATAAATAATATTTAAAGAAACTATATTTTCCAATTTATCTTAAGAAAACTTGTATAAAATTTAGAATTAAATAAAAAAATAAACCTATAAATTGAAATTTCCTACAAGAAATGATTGACTTATTATCGCTTATACCAAATCAATGAACTTACTTTTGACAGTTTAATCTTTTAATATGAAGTTTGATTGGTTAGAAAGGAATTTTCGAATCTTAATCCTTAAAAGAACATAGAAGACGGTTCGAATGTATATGAAAAAAAAATTAAAATCCCGGTATGAAAGCTCTTCGAAGGCGCAATTAGTGAAATACATATATCAGCACTTTTCAAAATTCTTAAGGGATAACTACTAAATATGAAAACCAAAATCATTAAGATTCACAATTAAATAATATTCTTTAAATAACGAAACTAAAATAATAAACACTCAACATTTATAAAACAAATGTGCCATAATAAGTATTGATATTATAAAATATTTTCCTACGTATTGAAGGAAGGCCCATGCTCAGCAGTGGGACGTTAAAAAGGGCTGAATACAATACATACAATACATTGTATACAATACATACAATATATACAATAAATTGTATACAATGCATACAATACATTAATATACTAAGTAAGCTTTAAATCGATACAAACCTCGTTAGTATTGCTTATCGGCTGCTCCAAATGCGTATCCGTAATAGAAACAGAGCGCCATTCGTGCGGAGAAAATCTCGACACTAAGAACAGCACGATGCTAACCGCGAAGAAACTGAATATTATGCAGAGCTAGAAAATGATTATTAGTTAGAATGTTACCATTTTAATATTGCAGTAAAGGAATTTTGTAATTTTAAATGGAATAATGTTTGATGGTGCTATGGACATAGTTTTTAGTTATTTATAAGATAATAACATTACATTTATATTTTTATTAGAGAGTTTTATCACAATGCTAGTAAGATGAGTGTAATGTATATAGATTAATTTAGTTATATTGCTAGAAACTTGGACTGCAGAGACCGCGAAGTAGAGTTAAATCTATATAAAAAGGTAGAATTTGTTTGTTTGAACGCGCTAATCTCAAGAACTACTAATCTGATTTGAAAAATTCTTTTTGCATTAGGTAGCCCGTTTATTGAGAAAGGCTATATATATGCTACGTAGTACCCAAGGGAGCGGAGCAGTAATCATAAATATCAACAAATCGAGCAGACTTCCATACATTTTTACTGATAGCATAAAGCCTAAAAGATTTTATGGTAGTTTTAACACGAGCGTAGCCGCGGGTTTTGCTAGTACATTATAATGATCAACGTGCTCCATTTTCGTTAAAAATAAACAAATTAATATATCACAGTTCTTGTATTAGTTGGTACTATAGTTCGATGCTATACAGTGTATGTAATCAACCACCTAAAATATTACGATCCAAATTATAAAATAACATGTTAAAGTATATACTTTATATAGAAATATTTCTAAAAGATTATTATAAATATATCGAAAAAATCTTAGTATCTCCTGATTTATTTTTTCACCTTGGCTTATAATATCATTTTCTGAGAATAGTAAATAGATTAACAAGTAGGCGTGAAGATGGCCACAAAGTTAAAATGTTGATAAAAAAATAATATATCAACGTTATTACGTGAAAGCTGAATAATATACCATTATAATAGATATAATAAGGTTTTAAACTTATTAAGGTTGTCTTAACGGTGAAGAAAAACATCGTGAGGAAACCTGCATGTCTGAGAGAACCTAGCAAGTTTTCAAAAGACATGTGAAGTCCGCCAACCAGCACTTGGCCAGCGAGGTGGACTATGGCCTGATCCCCCTCTTACTGAAGAAAGGTCCGTGCCCAGCAGTGGGACGTTAAAAAGGGCTGTATACATCATACATACATACATACATACATACAAGGTTTAAAAAAAAAACAAACAATTAATTAACATATTTTATATTACAAATACACAGAGCAAGATACTTTTTACCGCGGAAGATTATCTAATACCCACGAGAAAACACGTTATAATACAATCCAAAAAAATATTGATGATCAGAACTACTTGAAACTTGCTATTATTGCTCTTCAATAAAATTAATTAAATACTTGTTTTAGTATTTTTCAAAATTTATCCTATAAAGTTAAAAATTTGGGGACGAAAGTTTGTATGAAACTACCTTTTAAACATTTTTTTTGTAGTTTTAGCGCGAGCGATATCGCGGGTTCTGCTAGTATATTATAAATTTAATTATATACAAATAAAAACCAATGCATCTCGTCCCACATATACGAGTATAGCGATATCCAATAACAATATATCGTCAGTTTTCTTTACAATAGCTAATACAATGCAATTGAGATCATAAATCAGCGAACAACTTAACAGCACAGTTGACTCGCCCAAGAACTGTCATAAACATATACGAACACGCCTTTATCGGGAAATGTTTGGATACACTTCCGGCGGTCGTTATGTAAATGGAGATGTTACTCTTGCTCGTACTTTGTTTTTGAGTTTTTAATACTTTTTTTTTTGATAAATGTTAGTGTATTAAGTTTGCATCATTTAACTCATTTTAACTGTATATTGTTGAATTTGAAATCTATAAACGTTTATAAATTGTTATCCTAATGTCTTTCTGATTAATATCGACTATGGCAGCCAATATAACTTACAATTAGACTGGTCAAATTCGCGGGAGATATTATAAGTGAATAAGATTTTTTCGCGGATTTATTTTGATTTTTGGTTCCCGACTTTTCGAATGCTTTACAGCAATCATGTTTGGGAGAGACCCAATGTCAGGAGCCAAAAATCAAAATATATCCGCGAAAAAATCTGAAAAGATAGTACTCGTATTATATTTTAAAATTTTAAATATTCTCGTAAATCTAAGAAAGTATTATAATGAACAAGTTTCAACATAAAATTAATTACATTTATTGAGTTTAAAATATCCTCTTTACCGACATACGATGTCTAATCGCACTGGGTCTAAGTAACTATCTCAAACATGTTATAGTGCAGTGAGTGTATGTTCAAGTGCCAACCTTAATTCTTTTAACTATCAAACTCAATTTTAAGGTTTAAAACTAAAAGCTTTTTTGGATCAAAATAAAATGTGGCCTTTATCCTTCAGGGATAGTGCAGCTTTCTATTATTTTATATAGTGAAATAATTTTTGGAATCGATTCAATTGTTCTAGAGATTAACCTCTACATACAAACAAAGTTTACCTCTTTATTTATTTCACCCCCAGACAGAGCCAGTGCTGGTCACTAGTTTTATAATTTATAACAACATTCTTACTCAGGCCGTCAGCTCTGATAGAGTTTATAAAACTTAAATAAACTCAGCTTCAATAAAACTTGTGCCTCTCTTAATAAGATTTGTAGCAAAGGTGTCCGTAACAAGTCGACTAGCTCCTAAGGTTGTTTTTTTTATGTATTATATAATGAAGGTGGTGGAAGCCCAGTGGTAACATGCACGCTTGGGAAGTGAAGTGGATTCAAATCTCGGGTCTAGCACCTCTGATATTTTCATGTGCGAATCATTTCTAATCTGATTGCCACTTGTCTTACGGTGAAAGAAAATATCTTAATGAAAACTGCATGTCTGAAGGAACCTAGCAAGTTATCAAAAGACATGTAAAGTCCGCCAATCCACATTTGGCCAGTGTGTTGGACTATGGCCTGATCCCCCTCCTAGTGAAGGGAAGCCCGTGCCCTGCAGTGGGACGCTAGAAAGGGTAGGACATTATATAGGTTCATACATAATTTTCAATTTTAATTTAAATGAAATGAAATTTATTTATTTTAAATGAAATATATTTATTTAGTATCAAATTCCTATAAATAAGTATACAGTAAACAACAATGGCTACGATGATACTGCGAAAGTATAAACTGCGTTGCAGATATCAATTTTATTTTTGGGTCAAATATATTGATGAGTATTAATGTTTAAATATTATCTATACATATAATAAAATTGTAACAAAGCCGAATATGTACATTAAATATTTTTTGGAAAATCTTATTGAAATAGAAATTACTATCAATATACAGGGCGATATTTAGTTTTTAGAATTTTTGTCTGTCTGTTACCGCATCACAGAAAAACTACTAGAGATAGCTGGTAATCCGGGTCAACAGATAGGATACTTTTTACTGCGGGAAATATCTTATTTTTGAGAAAAACACAAAAACTGCAGTGTAAGAGTATACTTATATGTAAAACCTAAGAATATGGTTCTTGGTCATCTGAACGCGGGCGGAGCCGCGGGCAATGCTAGTTCTTTATATAAAAACAACGTTTAAAAATACAATATATTGTAACTCCAAAAAAACTAGAAAAAATACATAAACACTTACTATAATATTATTTAATATAATTAATGTAAATAATAAAAACACGTACAAATATAGATAGATAATAATAATTGTATGCTTTTGTAGTTATTTTTGAAGACCAATAATTAAAAACCATTCTCGTACGCATATTTTTTATTTGAGTTTTTTTATATTTTCAAATGAAACATATTTTAGGATTCTTTGGAAAGAATGTTATTATTATACCAAAATGTCTAATACAAAGAAGCTTTGAGTGATGTATCAACATAAAATAATATGATGTAACTAAATAGTAAGTAATTTTATCACGTTTTGTACACGTTTGACTTTACGTATACGTTTTTAAAGTGCGATAATAACTTTAATAAATTTGTTTTTATCTTTTTTTGTCCCTAGACAAACACAAATCTATCCCACGGAAACTGTAAATTTTTTCTTATTTCTTATTTTCCGGGGTGATATATAGCCTATAGCTTTCCTCAATAAACGGGCTATCTAATGCACAAAGAATTTTTCAAATCAAATTAGTAGTTCCTAAGACTAGCATGTTCAAATACACAAACGAACTATATGCCTCTTTATAATATTTGAATAGATAGTATCACGGATAGTATACCTCGAGCTATATTGAGTTAGTAGAACGATGAAATAAAATATAATACTATTTTAGCATATATAAAAAAAACAGTAACTTAGCGAAATCTGTACATTAATTTTTTTTTAAAACAATGACTGTAACGTATTGTGTATAGAATATAGACCCCAAAACAATAGTTATTAAATTTTTTATCTGTTTGTCTGTTCGCGTTTCACGCAAAAAATACTGAACCGATTTTAACAATATACCGATAAAGAAATTAAAACCAATGAAAAATTTAATAATATCCGATTTAAATGGGGAAGTTGTATACATACGCTAGGGACGAACCCGAGCGAAGCGAGGGTGCGTCGCTAGTTAGAAATAAAAATCTAAAGTTTAATATTCTAATTTCAGACAAGTCTGATTTTATAAGTGTTTAGGAAAGTATAGACTAAAAACGTGTGGTTGTCTATTTGTTTCATGGAGCATTATATAGGAACAGTAGGAATTTTGGCAAAACTACTTATTGTAGAACTAACGTAGTTACGTCCGTTAGAATTACTTTGAAATCAACTACCATGATTTGATGACATAAATCAATAAGAAATAATTAAATTTAGTAATAATTAAAATCACTTACCCATATCTCCTTAGACAGCGGTCGTAGAAAACTAAAAGTACCGGGATTTTGCTTTGGCGTTCTAGTTGGTTTGATCGGAATTTCTATTGAAAGGAAAGGTTCACTGAAGTCGATCACCCTCTCTCTTTCTGGAGTTATCGCTAAAGGTGCAATAGCAATATCTGCCTCCTAAATATATAATAAATAGCATTATTAACATAGTGTATATGTTACAATCAAAACTATTTTTAGTCAAAACTACTTTTGACTAAAGAGGTTGGTCAAAAATAGTTTTGACTGCAGGCCTTGGTCAATAAGGCTTTGACTGTCATATCGTTAAAAACTCTTAAAAATTTAAGAGAGAGAAAAGTTTAACTTGAAGGTTACTTGGAACATCTCTTTCTTTATTTCTAGGTCACGTTAGATAAGAACAGTGACCACAATGCCATAAACGACTAGAACTTTGAAAAGGTTTCAAGTCAAAACTATTTTTGACCAACCTCTTTAGTCAAAAATAGTTTTGACTGTAACATAAATAAGTTAAATTAAAACACAATTAAATCATTGCTCTTATTTAATACGAAAATGTGTCAACTCCATTAAATTTTACAATTAAAATTTTAAAAGAGCCAAATAATAGTATAATTATAATAAAGAAGGCTTTTCGAAAATTGACAGCGGTATCTGAATCATCAAAATGCTTATAGCATTTAACAACTCATTTTCGCGCGCGTCAAAAATTCTTGGTAATATGCGATGAAGTGCATCAAATTATTAAATTCCTTATTCCCTATTAAATTACCAAACAATTTATAACTTATTTATAGCACTCATTTATTTTAATATGTAAATATTTTTTTTAATTTCCCATACAAATTCATATAAAATTCAATAACCACATCAACAAATAACTTCCATTAATTAAAATTACTATCTCAATTTCATTAATTTAATAAATATTGTTTCATTAAATCATTTAATTACTTATTAATTATGTTTTTGATTTAAAATTTGTTAATAAAAATGTATTAGCACTATATTCCTATATTTTATATATAACAAAGCATTATGGTAACAATAATCAAATTTTATTGACCAAATATCAGACACAAAGTGTTTAACCTTATAATAAGTTATCTCTCGATAATACCTACAGTACCTACTAGATATCATTATTAACCGATTGAAGCTGACATATTACGTAATTGTCGTGAAATCTAATTCATAATGACACAATTTCAAGAGAAAACTTGCTTTGATTATAGTTATTCATATAGTTGTATACAACATTAATTGTACCATGTTGCGATAAAAGGAGGTCCTTTGACTCCTCGTTAAGCCCATCATCATATAGATTGCATATTATTGTAAATAACCTACTTTTATTCCTTGCATATAAATTTCTGTATACTCAAAGAATCATAGGGATAAGAAACGTGATAGAATATGTATATATCTATACATATAACAAAAATTTAACTGATAGCTGTCTGTACATGGAAGATATATGAGAACAAATATTATTGGAACCTTTGTCAACGCAAATAGCACCCAAAACAATGATTGCTAGATTTTTTGTCTGTTTGTCTGTGCGTTTGTTGTTAGATCTGGTTTTCACTAATATATTGCGTTAAGCTTCACTTAGTATTTAGTGTTTGTTTCATGTCAGTCGGTTCATAAATAAAAAAGTTATGCTAGTTTTAAGAATCACGTCGACCATTTCATAAGCTATCTATCTATATTTATCTATTCTTATTCTGTTCAGTAGCATTGACTGAAACATTACTAAACTTCATAATAATGGTCTTTATAAAATTATGATTATATCTCTCTTTTCTATGTTTCTCTGTCTGTTTGTACGAGCTAATCTCGGAAACTGTTGGACCGATTTAAATGAAATTTTGCATGGTGGGTACTTATATCCTCGGTCAACATTTTAGATACATTCTGATAGATCTGTATGTGCTTTTCTAGAGGCGAACCCGAATGAAGCGAGGGTGAGCCGCTAGTCTACACATATAATAATTCTAACTAAGTCGAATCTGTACGTTAAATATTTTTGAGAAAATCTTATTGAAACTGTCATTATTATCGATAGGCCGAATTTATAGTTTTTAGATTTTGTCTTTTTGTCTCTCTATCTGGGAACGCATCACAAGAAAACCACTGGACAGATTTTGATGAAATTTGCTATGATGATAGCTGGTTATCCAGGTCAACATACAGGATACTTTTTACTGCAACAAAATATCTCATCTCTGAGAAGACGTTAAAACGTTAATCTAGGTATGAACTCGAGCAGAGTGACGGTGAGTCACTAGTTTTATATATAAGAACAAAATTTACTTTATTAAAAGTAATAAAATTGATTCTCACAATAAAAATAGTTTACAAATAATTTTTAGCTCATACAAAAGCTACTTTGAATACATTGAAATAGCTGAACATTATTTCTAGTACACTGTACATTCGTCTATATAGAATGCGTGCTGTCTCGTATAAAGGGTGAACTTTAAACTTAGCCGGATATTAAATCCGTGGTGGAGTTGAAACAAGCAACGCTCAAAGACGCAAAACTGTTATACTAACATATTATACTAACAAGTTTCTCTAAAAATTTGATTAGCACCACAAGTACAAAGGAGCCTTTGTGTCATCTTAAACCATATTAATTTTGCTCCAAACCTACAGTTTGATATTCATATGTTATCTATACGAGTATCAAACTAGAGGTTGATATTCATATTATAATAATTTTGAATGCAATTTATCTTTTCTGTATACTCTTTTTTATATCTAAATATTACCTATTATATTTCAAAATATATAATGTATTATGTTTCATTTTGAAAATAAATGCGTTTAGAATGCAAAAACTAAATCACAAGTAATTTTATCTATACAATAAACATATAATAAAATTCCGTCCATTAAATATTTTTTGAAAAAACTTATTAAATAGTCATTATTATCAATACAGAGGCCGAATCTATAGTTTTAAGAATTTTCTTCTCTATCTGTCTGCCTGTCTGTGAATGTATCATGACAAAGAGAAAGCCAGTGGATAGATTTTGATGAGATTTAGTATGGTGACAGCTGGTTATCCGAATCAACATATAGGATACTTTTTACTGCGGGAAAATATCTCATCTCTGAGAAATCTATACTAATCGTTAAAACGTAACGTTAGTTATATAAAAGTGAAACATTTCAAAAAGAAAAATAAATGTAAACTATTAACTTAAGAGGCAACATCAAGCCCTGAATAGTTGATGTAAACAAAAGCTAAAATCCTTAAGTTCCTTTTGTCCTTAATAACTAGTGTACTTCCCGGACATCTGATGTCACTTTATGCTTCTTTAATTAGATCTTTTATTTCCGACTACAGCTGTGTAATATGGTCCATGTACAGAGGCCAACAACTCAATATTTGCTTTGTTACGCCATTATATCCCTTATTGTTAAAGAAATAAAGCACATACGAACAATTTACGTATAACCGTATGTACGTACATAAATAGCTTGGAGAACGCCCAAAACAAATTAGGAGTTGCTTTTGTTCAATGGCAAAAAACCTCCTCCGAGCTATTGTTCACAAAGTGATTGTACGTATAAAAGTAAAAAAATATATATATATATTTTAAGTTCGGAAAATTGCTCAGTAGTGTTAAGTTAAATTGATTTGTATTGCCTTGTATTCTATGATTCTGTACCTAGTGTGGAGCTCGAGAATTTTATTTTTACAGAACAATTTTAAACTAACTGAAACTCTTGTTAAAGTGGCACAACATAAAATATTTATTTTAAGTTTGGAGATAGGAACTATAATATATTTAAATTTTACAAAAAAAACCACTATCTTTTTTATTCTCAGATCAATTTTACATAATATTACTACCTAAAATATTATATCATAAATCATTAATAACTATACTTTCTATAATATTTTAAACGATTATATTTATATGTGAAACTTCAAAAAATAACAAAACTTAACACGTGTAGCATGTACTGGTAAATGCTGCAATACGAGTATATATTGTATTAAAAGAACAAACGTATTCAAAGCACGGAAGTGCAGATTCAGATAAATGGGCAATCGTTTTCTGGCAACGTTCTTTCAACCCATCCATAACTGGATAGAAAATGAAAACCAATAAACAGGCAAGTTATCAAACATAGCTCGGGCGTTGTTCGCAAACTTTATACAAAATTTATTTGGATAAAAAGTCAGAGCGGGATACGTCGAAGATGCAATAAACTGCATTATTTCATAGTGGAGAATAAATCCCTTTGTGACCGCGTAGACAGCAGACACGACTTATTAAAAATATTTCGAATAGTTACGATGCTGACCGAATGCTATTTGCGATATGCAATAAACAGATAGAAGAAAGTTTATCGTAATATACATTAATATACATTTTGTAGTGGTAAATGAAATTTTAGATTTAATTTGGCTAAATTAAATATCTATGATCATATAAATTTTGACTTAAAACGCTATTTAAAACTATAAAATCATAAAATTTTAGTGTCTGTTATTTTTTGTCTTATATTTTTACATGGGTTTATTATACAAATACATGTTTTAATAAATACTCTACAAAAATAAAGAAGGATTAAATCGCTTTATTCTCGCTCGCTCGATTCTCTTTTTATATGTATGGCTCCGCTCGGGTTCGTCCCTAGTTACGTTTTAACATTTAGTATAGATTTCTCAGAGATGATAGATATTTTCTCGCAGTAAAAAATATCCTATATGTTGACAGTTCTTACCATACCCATCAAAATCTGTCCGGATGCGTTCCCAGACAGACAATAATCAGACAGACGCATTTAGAATTTTGTTATCTAATATATAAAATTTCCATGTTACAATGTTAGTTACCGTACTCCTCCGAAACGGCATTACCGATTTTTACCAAATTTTATATGCGTATTCAGTAGGTCTGAGAATCGGCTACTATCTATTTTCCATACCCCTAAGTGATAAGGGTGGTCCACCCCAAAAAAATGTTATGATTCGGCATTTAAAAATACATACAAACCTAAACTTTCACTAGGGACGAACCCGAGCGCTGCGAGGGTGAGTCGCTAGTATGTATATAGATTTCTTTACCCCGGAAAAAAAGTTCTAAAGCTATTCATATAAAAAAATATATTCGTACTATATAGTGCGTTTTAACTGTTCACTGATCGTTGTCTAGTCCAAAGTGTGCGCTTGACTTTAGGTAAACTCCAAGTCTATGTTGCAACGGTTAATGGAATAAAGATTTATTCTTACCGCGCGTGCTTTCATCTCAGTACAAATTTAATCCTGTATCTTTGACCGAATGGAGGATTTCTGGTCAATTTTCTTTGTTTATTAAGATTAGTTTGACTTTTTTGCATTTTTATTACAAAACATATTATTTACTTTATATATTTTGATGTTAAATTCTTATATAAATATACTATTTTTAAGTTTCGAAATTGTATGTTATTAAATTATGTTTCAATACCGTATGTGTTTAATAAAACATTTAATTAGCAAATATTGATTTTTAGTCATTTGAGTGTTACCTTTCTAAATATTTCTCCAACAAGTCCATTCCAAATATGATGTGACATCTCTTTCCCGAATGCGCCATCTCTCACAAGACGAATTTCATCTACAAAAAGTTATTAATATTAAACAAAAAATATTATTACAAAATTTAAATAAAGTAACTAATGCCTGATTTCACCAACATCCCATAAGCTACCACCTACGTATGGGATACCTAGCTTAAAAGTCCCCTAAACTAGCCAATAAATTAAATTTCGTTTTACGATCGTCTTAAAGCCAATATTTCGAGCACCTAAATTTAGGGGGTCTTTTAATATTTAGGTGACTCCTAACTGTCGGTGAAACAGAAACTGTCCCCTAACAGCCCCCAAACCATGCATAGGAGATACCTTAAACTTAGGTGACGTTGGTGAAATCGGGCATAAGTTCTTTTTCCTTTAACATAATAATATACTCAACTTCTATATTTTATAAAATTATTGAGTTAGACTAATGTTGTTTGGAAAACCCAAGCAATAAAAAAAAATTAGAACTAGGTAAATGTAAAGAAAAAAAATATCCAATTCCGATTTTATTCGCATATATTTATATTATTTATGGTTAATTATTATTTTATATTAAGGCATTAATTTAATAGTTATTTATACTTACACTTGATCCCAAGTTTAGCAGCGATTAAATCTGTTAGGTCCTTGCAAAACCCATTAAACTGGTTTTCCCTCTGCCCATATTCTGCAGGTTTCAACATCATAAAGGGCTCTTGAAGGATTGTCGTGATTGTATAAGTTCTGTTGGTGTCATACGATATTGGTGAATGAAGCTGCACGTATTTTTGAGATACCAGTGATAAACCCTGTTTATCTGTCCATGTTGCCACCTAAGTATAAAGTTTGAGATATTATCCATCTTAAACTATTATTTTCAAATGTTATGTTTATTGATATATGTTTAATTTTTTTTTCTTATTAGTCAAGGGCTAGTTGTTTTAAGATTAACTTAATTATTTACATATAGTACAATGGTATATTCATTCAAAAACAGGTATATTATATGAAGATCTCCGATAAAATATATATCAGTTTTCTATCATTTATGATTTATTCGAAGATTGCACACATCATAACATAAATTCTATGGAAATTCCGAATTTACTGTATGCAAACTTTGATACTGTGATCGAAGTTCTGAGCAACCCTGATAAAGCTAGGGTATATATCCTTTAAAATTGATGAGTCTTGTCCAAGATCTGAAAGCCTGGATGCTCGCAATCTCCGGAGTCAAACTTTGATCTCTTACATTAATGATATCTGTGAAATTAGTACTATCGAGTTATACGAGGCTAGATATTGAGTATCCAAAAGGGGTTGTTAATTCTAATTGATTTTGATAATACGATCAGATAGATGAGAAATTCTATACTAATGAAACGTATGTTGGATCATTAGAGAATAATAGCAGTGATGATGGGCTTTGTTAGATAATGTGATTCTAAAGCTATGCTAGAAACAACTGTCTATCAAAATTTATAAGGAATTTAAGATGTAAAAATTTGTTTTAGATAAGATTAAAGCTATAAAGCTACTTATCGTGTGTGAGAATCGAATAATTGTATTTCATTGGGTTTGAAGTTGAAGATTTTTGCAAACCTAGTTGAATGGTAAAGTGCTGGATAAAATATCTAAACATCCTTTAGAAATAATGTAAGTTTTCGTGTTTAATAAGTTAGTGTAATAACTTATTAGAAGAAAATAATGAATAAATTACATTAACTCACAGCGCCATCTAGTTCCAAGGCAACGAGGCTTGTGTTATGGATACCAGATAGTTGATACACTACACATATATAATTTTAAATAAATACATATTATAAATATAAACACCTATATATGGAGTACAAACATTCGTGCTCATCACAATAATGAATGACCCCAGCGGAAATCGAACCCGGGACCGCTTCCACGCACTACAAAGTGAGACTTATATCATAAATATTTTCTTTAGTATATACACTATGATTTTTAGACATTTTAGTTATTTTACACAGATTTATTACTAAATTAGGAAACTAAAAGTATATGGTGAAAAATACATTATCCTATACTAATTTATTCAACAATTAAAATATTTTTATGAAATCTAATATCAAAAGTAATAAATATAGTTGATATTTCCTCACACTATTATTAAAGAAATACGGGCCGAACATTTAACCTCCTTCTTTTTGGAAATTGGTTAAAAAGTAATCAAAAAGCTTGCCAAACTTTTGCGTAAAAAACACTTAAAAGACTCACATCCGGTCTGAGTACTTCTGTTTAAGATACCCATTCGATAAGTTGTTTTAAGCGTTTTGTCTTTACATCACTCGAAAACGGCTAAACAGGTTTCAATAACAAATATTTAATGTATATTAGGATGCCCCGTCGACGTACTTCGTAGTCGAATCTGTATACGACTCAGTTAGAATTTTATTATATGTATACGTGAAACTCGATCGCAGGTATGCGAGTATACATATATATTAAAAAGAAATTTATTGAAAATATTTTCCTTTACGATTACAAATTCCACATCGATCTTACTACACCTAGACTCACTTTGAAACATTGATTTATGGACTTCGAGAAATCATTACTTAGTTGTAGCAAGTTGTGAAATGAAGTGGAAATTAGTCTTCACGAAAGGTGCCTCTAAGTGATGCCAAAAGTTATTTACTTTAAGTGCAGAGTTAGAATATTGTAAGCTTATTATACAGGATTTACTTTAATAAACTCATAACTAACTTCATTATACGGCGTTAAAACGTGGATATCGTAAAATAAGTATGATATATATATATATATATATATATATATATATATATATATATATATATATATATATATATATATATATATATATATATATATATATATATATATATAGGATGCGTGTGCGTGTATTAGTCTCACTGTGGCAGGAGATATTATAGTGCTAAAGTTAGTGTTTTAAAAAGTGTGTTTTCGAATTTGTATATTTTTTGCAAAATCTTATTGAGATAGTCATTATTGTCGATACAGAGGCCGAATCTACAGTTCTTACAATTTTTGTCTGTCTCTCTATCTGGCAACGCATCACGAGAAAACCACTGGATAGATTTTGATGAAATTTGGTGTGATGATAGCGGTTATCCGAGTCGACAGAGATATAGAGTACTTTTTACTGTAGGAAAATATCTCATGTCTGAGAAATATATACTAAACATTAACATAACTAGGAACGATCACGAGCAAAGCGAGGGTGAGTCGTTAGTATTACATAATATTATAGTGCGTGTTAAATGCACTTTCTAATCCGTTCACTCTCAAACTCCGAGACGTTAATTTGAGACGACTCGACTGGTGAGAGATCAGGTGCAGGATTACCACTAACTTTATGTGCCGAGGGGCACACCGCAAACTTTTCCACTCCAGAATGTTACTGAGGATTTACTGACAAGAAAATCCAAGAATTAAATTTAGTCCACCCTGAAACTCGAACCTAGGACCTGCAGATCTGTAGCCATTCATGCCGATTACTAGACCAATAAGGTAGAGTTAGGAACATGTTATATGATATAAGGCGAATGAAATAGAAATGCGATCTCTTAGAATGCTGTACAGAGAAACTTTTAAAAGTGTTTAAAACGGCAGGTTTGAATGAATGCTCGTGTAGTTTCAGAGCAACAATAATTGAAGACGGTGTAAGGGAACACATCAAAGGAAAAGTATATCTGATTTTATTATACCAAATGCAGCGCAAAAAAAAGGTATAATATAAACTAAAGTTTATAATCTTAGTGATATTTCACACTGTTTCTTTAGTGTATACTTATACTAATATTATAAAGAAGAAAGATTTTTTGTTCGTTTGTTTGTTTGTAACGAATAAGCTCCGAATCTACAGAACCGATTTAGAAGAAAATTTGGTAAGAAGATAGTTTGAGACCCTGGGAAGAACATAGGACATTTTTTCCCAGAAATCATCCCTTAAGGAAGTAAAAATTGGGTTAAAACATTTTTTTTTAATTTTTACATTATAATGATAATGAAGATGACGTTCTCCTAACTGATTCCGGCCACAGCGGCCAATTTCATTGAGACTAGCCAACTGCGCAGGAGATATTATAGTGCACAAGTGTACGCACAGACACAACGTGCACTCTCTATTCCTGTCACTCTCATACTCCGGTGGGACGTCTGTTCGACATGACCAGTGAGAGTTAAGGTGCAGGACCGACGCTTTACGTGTTCTCCGATGCACGGGGGTGAAACACCGCCAACTTTCCAACTCCGGGCTGTTACTGAGGCTTACTATACAGAAATACTCAATAACTAAATTTGGCCCGACCCGGGACTCGAACCCAGGACATACGCATGTGCAGCTGTATATGCTAGCCACTACACCACCGATGCAGTTAAAAATATTATAATAAATAATAAATAAATATATTGAGACATTACCACACATCAACATCTAGTTCCATGGTAAGCTACGAGGCCTGTGTTATCGATACCAGATAATTGATACACTACACATATGTAACTTTTAATTCATATGTACATAATATTACAAATAATTCTGTAAATATTACTTAAAAATAACTTAACACAGTGTTTTTGTAAATAAAAAACCAAAAGTGCTCATTAAATTTTATGATACAGACAAGTATAACTGATTTAATTAAACAAGTGCAGAACTAGAAACATATATAATATAACCTAAAATTTATAATCTAAACGATCCTTTACACTTTAAAAAAAAATATTATTCATTTATTATATTAAAAATTGCACTTACCTTCATCATGGCACTTTGAACAGTCATCTCTACAACATGCAGAGTAAAATTACATCGATGTCCTTCTTCATTGAAAGAAATATTACCCGTAAGACCCTCGATATCAGTCTAAAAACGTATATAAACAATTATATATCATATAGAAATAAAATATAGTGGAAAAAAAATTGTTACATATTTAGTTTTTTTACTAATGAGAGTTTCGAAATAATACTTGCAATAGCACTATTATTTATTTATATATTTAAAAAAATGTAGTGAAATTGATATGGTCACACATTTACGTTAGTTAATTCTTTGTTTTCATCAAATTTTCAATAATGATTATGGTAGCGTTTCAATCACTTTAATTAATAGCCAAATTATTAAGTTATACTGAGACTAAGACTAGATAAACTTACAAGTAAGTGGTATTTAAATATATACATTATACATATAATAAAAGTATAATTGATTGTTGTCTGTACATGGAAGATATTAGAAAAAAACTATTATTGAGGATCTTTATAAACGGAATAGAACCTAAAAAAAGATTTTTAGAATTTTGTGTATTTGTTTGTGCGTTTGTGCGCGCTAAACTCAAAAACGGCTTGACCGATTTAGGTGAACTTTCACTTACGTATTGTGGTAAGCTTCACTTAACGTTTAGTATTTATTTTATTTCAATCGGTTCATAAATAAAAAAGTTATATCAATTTAAAGAATCACCTAATCTCGCTAGTATGACTACTATGATGCTTAACTGACTTTATATTTCTAGTGAACCTCAAAAATATAGATGTTAAATTATACAATATCTAATATAATTTAACAAAAATCAAACATTTCATCGTACTTGAATAAAAAAATATTTTTAAAACAAAATCATTATTACGGGAGTAGTTTTACACCAATTTCCTGCAATAAAACTTATATATCGAGTGTTGATTTAGTGCGAGAGGCACATAAAATAAAGGTGGTATGAACAGATGTCCTTAGTAATGTTACAAAGTTAGAAAGTACGATCGGAAATCACTTTTTATAGAGTACCAAGGACCCTTTATGTAAGTTATGTGAATGGATACAGAAAAACTTTAATAATAGTTTATTATTAATACCTTTATAATAATAATAATCATAAAAATATATAGACAGCATAAATATATTTAGCATTAGTTAATGATTCTCAGTTATAAAAATATATATACAAAAAGCTACAAGGCTTGAGTGATATTATAGATTAAATTTGCTAACGTAGCTGCTACTTTAATTTATTATAATATATTACAAATATAAATACATAAAACAAAAACTATTTTACTTTACCATAAAGTATACCTTTTTAATCAATCTGGATATCTTATCCCCATGTTCAAATGGCACAACCCAACTTTTACCCGGGTTACAATCAATGACTTTAGTCGAATTAGCGAGGGCTGCGGCTCTTCTAAGAGCACTTCTAAAAGCATCAGGTTTCTTCTTCCACAGCCGACCCAAAGCGTCCATTAGTACTTGTACGCCGTCGTACATTAGCGCAGTTTGAGCCTGTTAGGAAAATATTTAATTTAACGTAACGTCAAAATATAAGTGTTTCTGTCTATACATACTCGTATAATAAAATTTTAACCAAGCCGAATCTGTACATTAAATACTTTTTGGAAAATCTTATTGAAATAAACATTATTATCGATACAGAGGCCGAATCTATAGTTTTTAGAATTTTTGTATGTCTGTCTATCTGTCTGTCTGTCTGTCTGTCTGTCTGTCTGTCTGTCTGTCTGTCTGTCTGTCTGTCTGTCTGTCTGTCTGTCTGTCTGTCTGTCTGTCTGTCTGTCTGTCTGTCTGTCTGTCTGTCTGTCTGTTACCGCATCACAGAAAAACCACTGGAGGGATTTTAATGAAATTTGGTATAGTGTTAGCTGGTTATCCGGGTCAACATATAGAACACTTTTTACCGCCGGAAAATATCTCATTTCTGAGAAAAAATACAAAAACTGCATTGTAAGAGTATATTAATATGTAAAACTTAAGAATTTGGTTTTTGGTCATCTGAAAGCGGGCGGTGCCGCAGGCAATGCTAGTATATATAAAATTAAGGGAATGTGTTTATAAAACCATATTGGTAGAAAATCATTCTTGGAAATCTATATTTAATGTCAAATTTGTAAATTAAAACTTTCTTTTTGTTTTATAATCTAGTGACTGAGTTACAGCAACAAACATACATATGTGCCTGTTATCTTGCTATATAATATTATATACATAGATGGATGTTTGTTACTCTTTCACCCAAAAACTACAAAATGGACGTTGACAAGTGAATTTGGACAATAATATAGCTCACACATCAGAATAACACATAGGCTACTTTTATCTCGGAAAAGTTCCTGCGGGATAGATTTGTTTTTGTATTTCTATAGGCAACCCCGAGCGAATCGAGGGTCAGCCGCTAGTAGTAAATAATAAAGTGTTTTTTTTTCAATTAAAATGGTTTTCAATTGAATAAGTAGCAAAGAAGTGAAAATTTTATCTTAAGTAGTATTAAAGTTTTATTACAAAACACTATATGTAAGTTAAGGAGAAAAAGAGCAAATATACGAAGTGTCTTTAAAAACAATGGGATTTTCCCCGAGGTGACCCGAGGCATCCATTAGCACCTGCACTCCGTGGACATTAGCGACATTCGGGCCTGTAACGAAATTTGTTGTTCTACCCTTATAAAAATCCAGCTCTTTTCTAACTATAAGAGTATAAAATTATTGTACATACATACATATATAAGGAACATAAAATTCAACTGGAATTGAACACTGTTTTAGTATATAGTAAGTAAGGAAACAGTTTCTAAAAGCATTGGATGTCATATTATAACGTAAGCCCAACAGTTCCATTAGTATCTGTACTCTGTACTTCATCTTGCATTTTACGAGTACTATATCTTCCATTAGGGTACTTAGTGTGTATCTGTCTTTCCTTCTTACTTATGCATCGCTAGTTAAAACAACAGACTTGTTATATATTTTTTCAAGAGACGCAAATGCAATGACATAACAAATTTAATCATATTAATTTTAATAGTAATTTATATTATGTAATAAAGTACCTAAATAATACCGTCGACTCTGCTTTAAATCTATACTAATATAATAAAGAGGTAAAGTTTGTGAATTGAGAGTTTGTGACGTTGTAGGGGGTAATCTCTGGATCTACTAAACCGATTTAGATGAAATTTGGTAAGAAGATAGTTTGAGACCTTGGGAAGGACATAGGATACTTTTAATGTCGGAAATCATCCCTTAAGGGGGTGAAAATGAAGAAGAAATTTTGTATGGGAAATAAACCTAGGGACGAACCCGAGCGAAGCAAGGGTAAGTCGCTAGTTATTATTTAAATATAATACACGCAAGTGTTATTATTGTTGAGATACATATTTTATAGTTGTAGGCAAAAAGGGTTGCGTCGATAAAAATAACCACTATTGGTTTGTTATACATCCAAAATAGTACAAAACACAAAAAGTTTTTATTACAGCTATAAAAACTGTCATTATTCATCACGAAAGCATTAAACCGTAATCTATGAAACAAATCTCTATACTTATCCGAAACGATCTGAATATAGATGTCATAACGCAAGTAATAATTTATTCGGGGTACCCACTTACGGTTTCATTAGAGTGTACGTAAGTTAGTCAAATCTACATAAATGTATTATACTTCACGTTGAAAATTTCTTCGGGAGCTATATTTACCACCTCGGGGCTCACTTTATGTTATACCCCGGGTTTGTCGTAAAATTTTGTTGATACTGTGTAATAAAAGAGATTTATAAATACACCAGGATTGCGAGGCGTTTTTTTTTATATGGATAGGCATTTTCCGCTTACCATATTTTATGTTCATCAGTTCGTGTTGTATTGAACGCTATGTATGTGAGGTAGAAATATAAGAAATATTTTAAATAAAATTATCTTTTCGGATTTTTTCGCGGTTTTTTTTTGAATCTGAAATATCTGTAACAACTATATCTAACTATACCTGCCTTTGAGACATCTAACACCTTAGTCTCTCCCATGACCTTGATTGCTGTAAAGCATTCGAAACGTCGGTAACAAAAAATAAAAATAAATACGCGCAAAAATCCGAAAAAACTTGTATTTAAAATGTCAAATACTCGCGTAAACCTAAGAAAGTATTATATAATAAAAATATCTTAACAGGATTAAAAGGAAGCAGTTGATTCTAGCGTTGTTTTTGTCTATATTATAAGATCGCTAATTGGGAATTAATAATCATGATTTTTTTTATAAACCTCCTCCTCACATGCCATATACATAAATTTTAAGAATAAAATTGCGCTCAATTTATAAATAAAAAGCGACTCACCCTCGCTTCGCTCATTCGTTCCTAGGTACTTTTTAACGGTTAGTATATAATAAATAGACTACGAGTATAATATATTATATTTATTTTCTGTACCAAACTTGATGCATTTTTGTACATGGTAAATCCGCCACTATAGTAATCCGAAGTAGTGATTCCCATATAAAATAAACAGTTCAGAATTTTTCGATTCTCCAGCTTTTTTTTAAGTTTTCCTATTTTTTTATACTTAAACCACCCGTAACATACCCTCAACAAAACAAAAAAGGAATTATTCAAATCAGTCCAGCCAGCAAATGATTTTTATAAATATAGCAGTAACTCACTTCGCTCTGGTTTGTCTCTAGGTACGTTTTAACGATTAATATTATGAATATAATATGCATCTATTATACATTTAAACCTTCCTCTTAAATCACTCTAGCTATTGCTGAAAATTGTATCAAAATCCGTTGCGTAGTTTAAAAGATCCAAGCGTACAAACAACGGGAACGACGTTTTATACTATGTATAGTTTATATAGATATTAATACCTATGAAGCGTCTCAACTAAGCCTAAAATTGCTCTTAATGCTATTAAACAATGAATAATTAATATAGAATTATAAGATCACGAGAGTATTTCGTTATCTTACATTTTTCATTAGCCTCGTGGGAATATATTTTAGAATAGTTTAATATGAAAATTATTGTTAATTTTCAATTCAGACCAATTTTCCTCTACTTGAGTGAACGTTATGTTTCAAGTCTTATTTGTAACAAATATTTTGATTTAAAAGCCATGTTCTAAGTATAATATGATCATGCACCGATGTTGTTTCACGGAGGACCGGCGTAGGGAAAGTTAGTGGTAGCTGTGAGTGTGTAGAGTTATCACCTAATATTATTATTTCGTATAATTTTGGTGTTCACAGTCCATTTCAGGCAAGCGTTAGTCACCAGAACTGAGAGTCAACGTAAAGCTTAGGAAACTGAAATTTGTTTAATGAATTTAAAAATGAAGGGGGATAACACAACCATAAATAATCGTTAAAAAATGGTCTCAAGCCAAAGCAAAAAAAATATTGAATTAATTTACGCTCTTTGTCTATACTAATAATATTATGAAGAGGAAAAATATGTTTTTTTTTTGTATGTTTGTTTGTTTGTAATGGATAACGTTAGTATATGTACGAATATATACGAAGATTATTTGAGACCCTGAGAAAGATAGTGGATAGTTTTTATCTCGGAAATCATCCCTTAAAGGGATGAAAAGGGGGATGAAAATTTGTATGAGGAATCAAGCATTTCTCAAGTATATAAGGGATGTAAAACTCATCATACCTCACTCGTATATAGGTCTTAATATTGAATAGCGATTGCAAACACCAGCAGGAGTTCTATTCAAAATTACCCAGTTTATATATCTTGTTTTGCTTTACAATTTGTTATAATAACACTGTGATAACGCAAGAGCAAGTATATAATAAGCAAGTAAAATACCCTTATATATATATATATATATATATATATATATATATATGTATATATATATATATATATATATATCTTATAATATAATATAAATCGCAAAATTTTTTAATCGTCTACTTATTATGGTTTAAAAGGACTTTTAAATCACCTGACCTGATGATACTCGTTTGCTGACATTTTATCATCTCATCTCATTCAGCCCTTTTTAAACAACGTCCCACTGCTGGACACGGGTCTCTATCGAATTTAAGAATGTCAAGGGATCAGGCCACGCTTCAGATTTCTAAATAATTCTATGTAAAGTAAATCATAAACTAACACATAACCCTTCTTGGGCTTCACCGCAGTCGGGTAAAAAGGGCTTATTTTTATTTCTAACTGAGCAATTGTAAAGCCACAACACTACGAGTATTTCAGGACCCTATAGTGCATTAGAGAAGTTAGAAAAGCTCTAAATGCACTCACAATGTCTTCTATTGTTCGACGGAAAATGTTTTTATGCTGTTATATAAATTTTATGATGATTATTTGTAGCCTGAAATAGATTAATCACAAAGCGGGTTGTAACCATTTATTATATCAGATTTATTTTAAATACTTCGTTTTGTTTTATTATATACTAGCGACTCACCCTTGCTTCGCTCGGGTTCATCTAGCTGGCTTCATCCAAGCTTGCTTCCTCATACA